AGCACTAAGAGCAAGAAAACAAAAGAAAAATCCCCTTATGCTGCGACCGGGGTCCAATACAGGACAATACAGTGACAGCGCGTGGAATCCCCGCTACCTCACTGCGAGGCAGTTACCTGAAAAAAAGAAGAAAATAAGCATGCATGTTCCACACATACTGGCCAGATACATACCTCAAAGCACTGGTGTTACTTCACCTGTTCCTTCATCTGTGGGTGTGCGTGTTCGGTTTGGCCCTGTTGGCCCATTCTTTCATTTTCCGTTTGCATTCCTTTTTTTTTTTCTTTTTTTTGGAAGAATTATGTATATACTATATATTATCAATTGAAGATAGGAGGCCGGGTATCCTCACAAACAACCCGGAGTGTGTACTGGGGCCATTACCCAGCTTCGGCTGTGCTGAAAATCGGGTCCAGCGCAAAAGCATTCTTCCAAATAAAAACTTGAAGCTCAGAAAAAAATTTGGAAAGTCTGGCAGCTAAAATCCCTAGTTCAAAAAGGTGGCCCACATCCACCGCAAACCTTAAAACTAGCAGTTTTCAAAAAGGTGCCAAACTTGAGGCACGAAGAGTAAACTACTAAACTCCCATCGGAGCTAAATCCCAAGCTTACCATTTGAACCGCTCTTGTCTCACAAGGAGCAAGCTTATCTCAACCATGATGACAGACCCAATTTGCCTTCTGCTGAGACTTCAGCAAAACGCGCTTCAATCCAGGTCTTAGTGAAGCACACATAGTTTTTCCTTCTCCAGTCAGCACACAGGGGTGACAGGGTCAATCTAATCCCCGCTTTGATCAGGTTTTGTATATGCAGGAAAGCCAACTCCTCCTCCTCCTGAAAAATCTTGGAGTTATGTGCAGTCCATATGGCTTGCATTACTATTCCTCTCCAGCATAAGGCCATCATGTATTCCTCCCCTGCCCTGCCTTTACCTTTTGTTGGGAACTTTCCATATAAGATAGATAAGTTTGTCTGTCCACTGAAGTTCCCAAGAGCAGTTCTTCCAAAACTTTTTCCACCAATTTTTTTCGCAAATCCCATCTGACAGCGGACAATACAGCCACAGATGGGCCGCTGTTTCCCACCCCCAGTTACATCGTGCACATGTTGATTGCAGATTCATTCCTTTCGCGTTAAGCCATGTAGCCGAGGCTGTTATCTGCAATGATTGAAGCCACTGCAGAGACGCCTGTCTTTGGGATGGCAGCTTTTTGAGTGTTTTGCAGAGCCTGAGGAAGTCTGAATCCCCCATCGCCGACACTTTGGAGGTCCGTCAGTCTAGATGTGGCCACAGTCACTGGTTTCCTGCTCACTCTGTCCTGCAGTATCTGCACACCGATCTTGGCTTCGTACAGGTACACCAGAACTGGTGGGGCCGGGGGAATTTGGTTCCAACCGAACGGTAAGGGTTCTATTATCAATCTGTCATGAGGAACCATCACCATTTGACACACTGAAGACCCGTGAGACACCTGCTTGTTCACTCTCGCTTCTTCCAGACCAACAGTAGTTTTGACCGTCTCTTCATCTTCGAAGATAAGAGCTGTTTGGTTTCTGTCCTGCTTTTTCCTCCAAATTTGGACTTTTGTTCCTGGACCCGGATCCGGACCGAGCACTTTCCAAAGTTGTGAACTGTTCTCTGGGTCAACCACCCAGAACCCCGAACTCTGCTCCTGATCTTTATTCAGAGTTCTTTTCCAATGGGTGGGGACGGCGGCCTTCTTTATCCGTTCATAGTTCAGCTCTACCCAGCGTAACCTGGGCATCAAACTCCTTACCTTCTCTGTAGAGTGCCAGACTGAGCCTACCTTGTCCCATAAATCCTTTACCTGTATGATTCCATGTTCAATCCAGGCTTGGCCAAGCGAGCCTGGACTCTGCCATCAGCAAGTACTTTATCAGTCCCGTGCTCTAGGATAAACCTGTTTTCCAAAGAGATTTTGATTAAGGATTTCTCCTTTAGAGTTTGGTTCTCGTATCAACTGCGGGCGAACTTTGTTCCAGGCCTTTAAGGTGAACCGCCAGATTCTCGATTTCGGTCTCCTCTGGCAGTATGACTTGATCATGAAGCAGAGCCAGACATGCGACCCTTTTTTCAACGACCATTCCTGAGTTAATATATACATTCCGTTAGTAGGAGCCAGATTTTATCCGCCTCCCCATGCATTGCGGACACAGGCCATTTGGCCAGCAAGGCTGTATTTTGCTGTCTTGAATCTAAAATGCCCAGGCCGCCTTTATCTCTTGCATTACAGATCAAATCCCAGGCTGCTTTTACTATAAAACCTTGCTGTTCTGACGCAACAGGTTTCCATAGGTACTTCGCAGCCACCTTTTTAATTCCTCTGTAGGCATCGTCTCCCAAAAGGTGGACTGTCAGCGGGAGCCAGAGGATCGAAAAGGCAGCCGATGTCAAAACCAGTGCTCTTCCGAACAAGGACAGTTGGCGATTACATACCCAGCTGTTTGTTCTGGCCACTATTTGTCCTTCAGCAACGAGTCCTGCGTCCCCGAGGCTTCTGACAGTGAAACTTGAACTCCTAAAAAATGGTCTGATGTGTTTGTAGGAATCTGGCGCAATCCCCAGTCCACCTCTAACGAGAACAATTGGGGCAGGAAATACACGGACTTTTCCCAGTTGATAGAGGCTTCTGACAGCTCGCAATATTCGTCCGAGACCCCCCCCAACTCCAACATTGTCTCTTTCATGCACCCTAATGTTATGTAGCAAGACTTCTAGCTGGGTGACGAAGAGTAGGGGGCCTAAAGGGCACCCTTGTCTTAAGGAGCGGGTAAGTAGGAATTCTGGAGAGACAAGCCCGTTCACCATTACCACTGAGGAAGCGTTCGTATACATTGCTCACCCACGTGCAGAGGCCGGTCCCGAAGCCCATTTTCCTTAGGGTCGTGAAAACAAAGGCTCAAGCCTTTTCCATGTAAAGCAACAATAACGCCACTTCCCTGTTCTCTCCTCCTATCACTTCCAAGGCTTGAATGGTAGACATGATATTGTCAAAGATCTGTCTACCCTTAACTAAGGCCCCTTGTTCCATGCCTATAAGATCTGGAAGGTAAGCAGCTAGCCGAAAGGCTAGCGCATTAGCCAAGATTTTATAGGCCACGTTCAACACTGAAATCGGTCTCTAGTTTTGACTTCCCTCTTTTCTCTTTTTTTGTACAATAAGGATATAACCCCCATAAGCCATCTCTTCGGTAAGCTGCCTGTTACCAGGGTGCTGTTAAATATCTGGCAGAGAAAAGGAGCAAAGCCCTCCCACGCACTTAGGAAAACTTCAATCGGTAAACCGTCCATATTGGGACATTTCCCCAACGCCATTTTTTTGGCCGCATCATGTAATTCCTGTATTGTGAATGGAGCGTCTAAGAGGTCTTTTCCTTCCCGAGGAATTTTTGCTCTCAAATCATCCCAGAAGGAGGAGATCCGAGAGAGGTCAGACTCAGATGAATCAAGGGGTCTTCTAGTGGACACTATGTCCTCAAAATAATCTTTGGCATATGCACACATTTCCTTTGAACTAGTGGCCACTGGGGCAAACACATTAAAGGGGTGCACCAATTCTCGCACCAATGGTTTAGATTTCCTCAGCAGTAAACTTCTGAATGTGATCTTTGTCATTCTATCATAGCCTACCATACCCCTAATCCATAACCACTCTAGCCACTCCTCTTGCTTCTTTGCTTCCAGTCTTTCTAGAGTGACTAGGTTTTGTTTACGGTGTTCCGACCAATAGTACTCAGTGAATGGATCTCCCCCCATTTTAGCTTCTGCTTCCCTTACTGCATCCTGAGCCTGTTTTTCCTCCCAGCTCCTTGTTGCCGCTCTCATTCTGGAGAAGGTTTCTAGTGCCGTGGAGACAATCCCCAAGCCCACTTCCGCCCAAACCTGCTCCTGGTCAAACAAGTCTTTAGCCCCCATCCATTTCTTCATCTGGTTGCTCACCTACTTAGAATGCCCCTTTCTTTTAAATGATTAATAACATTAAATTTAAAAGGAGGGTGTATCTTTTCCACCTGTTGTTTTGAGATGATATCCATTCCCACTGGTGAGTGATCCGAGATGGACGAGACTAATGTGTCACACGGTCACACCACATGCATCGGTCCCAAACAGTCCCTCTTGCCAAGAAGAAGTCTACCCTTCTCTTAGGGATTGGGGCTGTTTCGGACGGGCGTGGGCCGAACCACGTACAAGCGCTGGACTCCGGGTTCAGCACACGAAATACATCGTGAAGACTTTGAGCTCCCTTGAGGGAGGTCAGCACGAAGGTATCTTCCCTGATGGGCGTTGGGTTGGGAGAGTCTAGGCCCGGATTGAACACCGTATTCCAATCCCCGGCCAGAATGAGGTTCTCCACATCTGGAATCCAGGATGGGAGAGCGGCATAAAACTTGATTTTCTCCTTGTATTCTACTGGGGCATAAACCGTCATAATTGCCCAGTCCTCGTCGTCAACTGCCAGTTTAATCCATAATACTCTACCACTAGGATCAATAAAGTGATCTATTATATCAACTTCTAAATCCTTATTTAAAAGGATAGCCACTCCTCCTCTCGTCCCTTCTGCGGGGGCCCAAAACTGGGGCCCCTTCCACCATCTCCTGACTTCCTGGATTTTTTCCATGTCCAACTTGGTCGCTTGTAGGCATGCTATATGCACATCTTGAGAATGGAGCCATGATGCTAAGATTCCTTTTTTGTTTCTATTGGAGGTGTCTCCCAAACCCCTTACATTCCAATTTAGGATTGTAATCCTGTTGGGCAAGACCATCACGCTGGTCATTGCTGAGGATTGTAATCCTGTTGGGCAAGACCATCACGCTGGTCATTGCTGCCAAACATTTGGATGCGGTATAAGGAGGCACTGTCTAGGTCAGTTAACTTGACTTCCGCTGTGCCCTCAGACTCTAAGGCCAGTTTGACAGTTGAGTGCGTCGCCCAGTGTTGAACAGTAGGGCCCTGCAGTATTAGCTGATGTCGAGCGTCTGTCTGAATCAGCCAGTCCACTACATGTTTGGCATTCAAGTTCGGGCCCATCTTTATGTCTCTCAAGGCTTCGGATTCTGGAACCAAGGACCAGTGGCAGTTGTGCACTCACTGGTTCCCCGTTCTCCTCTGTGTCTCTCCTCTGTGTCTGCAGGCTGTTACCGAGCGGCTGGGAAGCAGTTGCTGACTCTGGCCCTGAAACAAGTGTCTTCTGTACGACAACGTCTTCTGGTGTTACTTCCACCCCCGTGAGCGCCTTCCAGGGCCGAAATCAAATGAAGAACAAGAAAACAAAAAAAAAATCCCCTTATGCTGTGATCGGGGTACGATACAGGATAATCCAGTGACAGTGTAAGGAACACATGAGCGAGGCAGTAGTTACCTGTCTCGCGTGGAATCCGCCCTGCCTCACTGGCAGGGCACGACACTAAAATGAAAACGTTGCACATTCACTTTCCACAGATGCTGGCCAGATACATTCCTCAAGGCGCTGGTGTGACTTCCACCACAGATACATTCCTCAAGGCACTGGTGTGACTTCCACCACAGATACATTCCTCAAGGCACTGGTGTGACTTCCACCATCGTGAGGGCCTTCCCCAACGTCGCGGCATTCGAAGCTCTGAGTCCTTTTTTCTTTTTTTCCTCTCTCAGGGTGGCCCGCGGGGTCCCATCCCTTTTTTTTTTTTGGAGAAAGGCCCCATCTATTGGTGGGGAGCATCACCTGCTGGAAAACGGGTCCAGCGTCCCTGATACAGAATAGTACAGGTGAATCAGAACAAGGAAAGCAATGGGCCTGCCAGCGTTGATTACTCTGGATCACCAGAGGATTGACTGAGCGCGGGGTCCCATTCCAATCTTTTCTTTTTCTTTTGTTTCCCGCCGACCCTACACCGGACCCCCGAGCTTTGCGGTTGCGGTCATTTTCCCAAATGGGACTACAGCTTGGAAAGGTAGTGGTGGTTGGCCAACCAATTCAATCACCTGTGGAATCTGGCCAGGACGGCCTTTCGTGGCCGGTCAATTGAATGATGATATAGGTCGTCGCCCTATTTTCCTTTTCTTGGGGTCTACGAAAAAAAAGCCCCTGAGAGCAGCCTTCGCGTCCATTTCCCTGGGGAAAAAAAAGAAAAAAAAATCATCCACGGGACGCACGTCTGCTGCCCCGCCCGTAGCATCAGCACGTACGTCGACAGCCAGGATCATCCAAGGCCCCACCCACCACCTGTGGGTGGGTACCAGAAGAATCCGCCAGTTGCCGACACGTGGGGGTTTGCCGACG